TGCTGCTGCTGCTGCTGTTGCTGCTGCTGCTGCTGTTTAGTATCGGGGGCCCCCTTGGGCCCCTCTCCAGACCCTTCGTGCACCATGGTCAGGCTTTGCTGCCATGCTAGGGTTTGGGGTTTACGGTTCGAGGTTGGGAGTTGAGGGTTTAGGGTTTGGAGCTCGCCTACTAAACCCTAAAGTGTGACAACACCGCTGCAGGGAGGCATCCTCCTGCGTATGCGCGAGTTTAGGGTTTAGGGTTTAGCGTTTAGAGTCTAGGGTTTGGAAGCGAAAGAGGCCCGAGCCCACAATCTTCCTGAGCCTAAAATTAGGGATTAAACAAACAATAACGCATATGGCGCTGCTAAACACTAAACCCTAAACCCTAAACCCTCGCAGGCCCCGCAAGACCAGGCTTCCAGCCCCAGTTCCGGGGGCCCCGGGTTCGAGGGTTTAGAGCCCAGGGTTTAAGGTTTAGGGTTTAGGGTTTAGGACTTTTCTTCAATTCAAAAAGCTGCAGCAAACCTCTTTTTAAAGAGATTTTACGCTGCTGCACCCAAGTGTGCTGATGTGCTGATAGCGACTGCAGCAGCAGCAGCAGCAGCAGCAGGAACGGCACCCCAGCAGCAGCAGCACCAAAATCAGGAAGAGCAGCAACAGCAGCACTGGCAGCAGCAGGACCTGCATCGAGAGCAGCAGAAACAACAACGGCAGCAGCAGCAGCAGCAGCAATAGCAGCAGCAGCAGCAGCAGCAGCAGCAATGAGAACAGAATGGCCCTTGGAGTCGCTCGATGGAGGGCCCTGAGGGGCCAGTGCCGTGGCTTCCAAACCCTAAACCCTAGACGCTAAACACCGCGTCCTCGCAAACCCTAAGCCCTAAACCCTAAACCCTAAACCCCAGGCCGTGGTCAAGATGTCCCTCTTCTTGTCACGCGTCCTTTTGACGCCTCCCAAATCCCCCAGGTTTGCTCACCACCCTGAAGACCAGGGTTTAGGGTTTAGGGTTTAGGGTTTAGGGTTGGCTTTTGTCCTCTGGCTGCGCCTCCGCTTGCTCTGTGCCGTGCAGCAGTTTCAGGAATGAGGCATTAGGGTTTAGGGTTTAGGGTTTGGCTCTTAAGACTTATGCTTGGGGTTTAGGGCACAGGATCTAGGGTTTAGGGTTTAGGGTTTAGGGTTTAAGGTTCCGGGCTCCCAGCCCAGAGTCCAGACCCTCAAATTTCCGGCTTCAGTTATCGGGCCAAAGGCATAGGCCTCAGAAATTAGGGTTTAGGGTTTAGGGCTCAGACTTTGGGGTTTAGGGTTTAGGGCTCAGAATCCAGGGTTTAGGGTTTAGGGCTCAGAATCTAGGGTTTAGGGTTTAGGGCTCAGTGCTCCGGGCTCCGAATTCCGGGCTTCGGGCTCCGAACTCCGGGCTTCAAACCCAGTGTTTCAAATCTAGGGTTTAGGGTTTAGGGTTTAGGGTTCAGGGTTTAGGGTTTAGGGTTTAGGGTTCAGCGTTCAGGGTTTAGGGTTTAGGGTTTAGGGTTCAGGGTTCAGGGTTCAGGGTTTAGGGTTCAAAGTTTAGGGTTTAGGGTTTAGGGTTTAGGGTTTAGGGTTTGGGTGTGGACGCAGGAACTTGTTTTTTCCGTGGCAAACGGTGTCTGTACACCTGAGCGGAGGGTTTGTGGAAACCCGCAGATTGGCTTTGAGGGTTTATTTGAGTTTTTCAAAAATGGAAATAAAACGCTATTTGGAGTGTATGTACACCTCGAAAGTCCTCAAAGTCAACACTCTCCTCAAGGTCCCCGAGCGCAGGCGCTGCCTCCACGACAAACGCCGTACAAACCCTAGACCCTAAACCCTAAACCCTAGCAAACCCTAAACCCTCGCGCAAAGCTGCTGGCCCTAGGCCCTCGCAAACCCTAGACCCTCGCAAACCCTAGGCGCTTGCGAGCCCTAGTTCCTCGCAGTCGCTAAACCCTCACAAACCCTAAACTCTCACGAACCCTAAACCCTGAAAAGGACCCCAAACCCTAAACCCTAGTCAAACCCTCGACCCTCGCAGAGGGTCGAGGGTTTGACTGGACCCCAGACGCTCGTAAACCCTAGATCCTCCCAAACCCTAAACCCTAACCCCCCGTAAACCCTAAACCCTAAACCCTCGATCACTGGTCTCGGTGCTCCGGATTTAGGGTTCAGGGTCCAGGATTCTGGGTTTAGGGCTCAGCGTCTAGGGTTTAGGGTTTAGGGTTTAGGGTTTAGGGTTTGCGGGCAGTGGGCTACCGGCGGGCGAGCAGCATGTACAAGAAGGCGGTGGTGACTTTGGAGCAGCAGCAGCCAGCAGCAGCAAAGATGTTGAGTTCTTCTCGCAAGCTTTCTCAAAACCCTAATTTAGCGAAAAAGAATATTTCTTACGGAAGGAGAAACCCTGAAGAGCCGCGCAGGCTTCCCGAAAACCCTCACGCCTGGACCCTCCCCGTCCCCGGCCTCCTCGCAGGCAAGCCCCTAGGGTTTAGGGTTTAGGGTTTAGGGTTTGGGGTTTGGGTTTAGGGTTTGGGGTTTGCACCCACACGCGGGCGCGCAGCGTTTACGCGCTAGGGTTTGGGACGAGGGTTTAGGCTTCAGGGCTTCCGCGCTGCGCCCGAGGGTTTGCGCCGAGCGGGGGTTTAGGGTTTAGGGTTTGGGGTTTAGGGTTAAGGGTTTGGGGTTTAGAGTTCAGGGTTTGGGTGGCAGTGTTTACAGCAGCGTGCGGAAGCAAGGCAAAGCGCTCGGGCTTGCGCAGGGCTGAGGGTTTAGGGTTTAGGGTTTAGGGTTTAGGGTTTAGGGTTTGCGAGGGTTTAGGCGAGGACTTGCGGCTGCACCCCACCCACCGCGAAAACCCTCAAACCTCCCTCGAGGCTCCAGACCTCCGGCTGCCTTTCCGCCATTCTGGGGTTTACGGCGGGACCTTCAAACCCCAGGAGCTGCAGCACCAGCCCCACAAACCCGTAAGCAGCAGCAGCA